TAACTTTTTGAGGAAACTCCATACTGTTCTCCACAGTGGCTGCACCAGTCTGCATTCCTACCAGCAGTGCAGGAGGATTCCTTTTTCTCCGCATCCTCACCAGCACTTGTTGTTTGTTGATTTGTTGATGATAGCCATTCTGACAGGTGTGAAATGGTATCTAATTGTCGTTTTGATTTGCAGATATAGATATATTTAGAAATAGACATCTTCAGACTTCCAGGGACATAATTAGAAATGCTGAACCCCCTTTTATCTCCCCTCCTACTCTTAGGAAACAGGCAGTCATCCTCCCCTTAAAGACTAATCTCCCCACTTTGTCCAGGACTTTGCTCATTAAATTCTGCCCTTTGTTTACTGTGTGATTAACTTCTTCTCCCCCAGGCTTTTAAAAAAATAAACCTTCCAGCTCTGACCAGCCCATTGATAAGTAATTTAATACAATTAAACATCTCTGACTTTAATCCATTTGCTTCTAGCACTGTTTCCAGTGAACATTTTTTCAGGTGTCTGCTTTTGGTTCTCCATAAAGCCTCTTGGTGAATTTCCTAGCAACACTGCCTGCAGCTGGGTGAATATGTCCCTCAGTGGGGTCAGGATGGTGCAGTACAGTATCCACTGCATCTGTACCTTTCATCCACAAACTACTTATCCTCCACAATGAAGTGTCTGGATTGTCTGGTCCACTATCTGTTGTGCTCTTTAAGCTTTGCCCAGCTCCTGGTCCTGCACGTCCACCTGGCTGAGCAGGACTCACGGCTTCTGTGACAAAAGTGTATTCATGGTTCCCTGGCACCTTCCAAGGAAAGCCCAGGTTCCCTGGCATGACATCCTAGTCCACCGTTGTCATCCTGGCTCCTGCCTAGCTCACCAGCCTCAGCAACCAGCCCCCTTTACCTGGCAGTTAACCCGTCAGCAGCATAGCTGTTAGTGGTGGCTGCCACTTCTGTATGCCTGCTAGCCCTCCCGCCAGTACATCCTGCTGTTCACGATGTTGTTCTGTCTAGAACATCCTTCAGCTCACAAGCCCTTTTTGGCCTCTCTGAATAATTCCAAATCATCATTCAAAATTTAGCTTGATGATTCCCTCTGCAGGCAACTTCCCTTGATCCCTTTTGACTGGGTCAGATTTGTGTGAAATTTGTATTCCTCTGTCATTTAACGGTACTTTTTAAAATTACTGAAATTGTTTGATGTTATATCATGTCTCCAACTACATCGTGAGTTTCCCATGGGAAAGGAGGTGGTATTCACCAAAATCAATTTTCTGAGTCTCCACCTTTCTATCCAAACCTGAGAGTAGCGAGCAACGGAGACTGGGGGCGTGACCAAAAGTTAGGTGAGGACTGCGCAGACTCAGCAATTAAACCCCAATAGGCGTCCTCGGTTCCCATGGTGACAACGGCCACTTCCTGTTCTTTTACCTGAAGGTATCCGGCCGTTTGAGACTGTGTAGCAGCAGGAGGCTAAGGGCCCCGTTCCCAACGTGGTGATCCTGGTAAAATGCGGGAATTGGGAATGTGCAAGACGCCGCGATTTCTCCAGATGTTCCCGCCCCCAGGCCCAGCCCAACTGAGCCACAGTCAAGGCTCCAGTTAAGAGCGGAGTGTGCTCTGGTACGTCCGTAAGTAGGTTTGACAGATAACTTCACCACTTACCCTACCTCTGAGAAATAGCGTCCATGAGTTGGCTTTAATGTATAAATTATGTCTCTGGAAAATCAGAATTGGGGTCTTGAAGACACCAAGAGGGCCATGGGGTGTGCATGTCCCAGAGACACAAGGCTGGGAAGCAGGAGATCTGGGCTCTGAGCTGGCCATTAACCTGCGTGAGACGCGGAACCAGCACTGCATCTCTGGGAGCGCAGTCTGGACGGTGATGGAGCAGTGGGCGTCATCTCCATGTCTCAGCCTTTCCCCAGGCTTCCATGACTGCGTTATGTGACCAGCTCAAACCTGAGAGCTGCTTGGCTGAGCTGGCACTGAAGACCTGGAAATCGGAGGGCGGATGGCTGACGGGAAAGACTGTTGTTATGAAGGAGACCGAGGGAATGCTGTTGCCGTAGAATATTGACAGGGTCTGCATAGCAGCATTCCCTATATTCCTTCCCAGGACAAGCAGAAGAGACCATGTTTCCACGTCCTCCCCCAGGAGCCACCTACACTGTCTCCACTGCCCGACTGAGTGATGTATCTGTACCCAATTAGCAAAGTGCCTGTTGGACCTCAGCATGTGGTCAGAAAATGCACACCAGTGGCTTTTTGCTCTGCAACTGGGCAAGCTTTTTATATCTGTAATTCCTAACTGTGTTGTTTTACACAAACCATGCAAGTTTTAACATGCCACTGATAAATAGTACAATCAATGACATAGTCCAACAAAGGGTCCTAAACACCCTAAGAAAGGGAGTCTGGCAGGGCTCAGTGATTGAGCATCGACCTGTGAACCGGGAGTTCATGGTTTGATTCCCAGTCAGGGCACATGCCCTGGTTGTGGGCTCAGTCCCCAGTGAGGGGTGCGCAGGAGACAGCCGATCAATGATTCTCTCTCATCATTGATATTTCTATCTCTCTCCTTCTCCCTTCCTCTCTGAAATCAATAAAAATATATATTTTAAAAAGAAGGGTCTGGCGCAAAGATTCTTCCTGAGACTGAGGCAGCTGCTTATACAGTGCTGTCTGGGTAGCTCAGGTGGTTGGAGCATCGTCTTGATATGCCAAGGTTGCAGGTTCAATCCCTAGTCAGGGCACATACCAGAAATAACCAGTGAATGCATGTATAAGTGGAACAACAAATCGATGTTTCTTTCTCTCCCTTCCTCTCTCTTGAATCAATTTTTAAAAATCAGTTACCTTATTAAGGAAGAGTGGTAAGTGATCTTGAAATACTGTAGTGGTAGAAAAAAAATCAGGGACTTCCCTCTTCTCACATTTTTATTAAAGGAAAACATTCAAATGAAAATAATAACCCTTATATTTGCCATGTTCTCTCTAGCATTATAAATGATTTTTCAAAAAATCCTTTATTTAAGAGCTAGGTGACACCTATTCCTGTTGGGCCACAGATTCCAGCTGCCCAATGAGGCAGGTTTCCTCAGCCTCCTGCTCCCTGTTGTGTCACCATCCGCTGATGCCCTTCGTGACTTCTGTGAGGTCAACCCCTTCCCATCTGGGGACACTTCTCCTTCCACCTGTCCCTGGACCTGAGCTGTGTGATCTGCCTCTTCCCACCTGGGGGCAGAGGGGTGGGTCCTTGAGGGGGATGCCAGTGGTTTGGTTCTAGGCTCCTTAGGCCACTAACTTACGACTTTTTAAAATAAGATTTTGCCAAGGGGAGCACAGGGTGCTGGGTGATGAGCCACCCTCCTATCCCCCACAAGAAAAACTGGACTCCATAAGTTTCTTACTTACAGGGTCTGGAGGAAGTACACTGCATTCCTCAGGGGCCACAGCGGGAGGTCCAGGAAGAGTGTCGAGAGGCAGTACCTAGGCTACCTGTCTTTATTAGGGACCCTGAGTGGAGTGCTTTGGGGTTACCTGGCGAGGGCTGGGTTGGTAAATTCAAAAGAGCGGGGTTTGGTAAGCCCCACTGAGGTCTTATCTAAGGGGTGCATAAGGCACACAGACGCTGGGAGGCAGGGGAGAGTGTTATTACCAGGGCTGTTGGTGAAGTCATGTCAGAAATTTACATTTGCTTGTGACTGTGGCTGCTATCATTCATACACTTGAATAAGGGGTCCAGTGTCAGTTTAAGGCCCCTACAAGCCACTTGGACAAAAAAAAAAAAAAAAAAAAAAAAAAGGGATGTGGCGGCAGCAAGACCATGGTGTAGCTTAGCTAAACTCTCCATAGGCTGACCTGGTGTTGTAGTCAAATATAGAAATGTTTAAAAATGTCTAAAAAATGTTTAAAATGTTTTAAAATGTTTGAGTTAACTTTCCTGAAAACTTAAAGTGTGATATTAAGGACACATTCCCCACTGCTCTGAAGCATGTATACCTCATAGATAAGGATTTGAACTTCAGTTGCTAATTCAGAGTGACTTGTCAGGATAACCTTTTGAGTGAGTGATGTACTCTTCCTAGATAATCACATGTAGGCCCTCGCCCTATTTGAGATTAACGTGTGTGCCTACGTAATTCATTGATAGCCACCTGAACTACTGCACAACAGGCTTTAAAAATGGGTCCTGACCAGCCCACGGTGCTCGCCTGTCGAGACAGCCACAGAGGCACGTCCTTTTCTCAGTCCGGCAAGCGACGCCGTTCACCCGGCCCCCTGCATTGGACCGGACCAGCCCAGCTGCCAGACCCCAGAGGACAGCACCCCCGGGATCCCCATTAAGCCTGTAGCTGCAGCATCAGGAACTTGTGTGAGTAATAAAGTGCTGTGTGATTTGCAACAGCATATGTTTCATGTCGTGTAATTCCTCCAGCAGTTAATTGAATTATGTTGCGTATGCTTAATATTAAAGTTTCTGGTCTTTTCGGTCCTAGGCCTGCCCTTGGTCCTGCGTAGAGCAGCCCCTCTGCTAGCAACTACTTGAATGCCCCACATCTGCACTGTTCAAGTTTATCTCAAGGGACGCCTTAGAGATAAACACCCCAGATCCTTTTCTGGGAGCTACTTGGACACCTGGGTTCGCTGTGAAGGTGAAGGGCAGCCGGTGACCGGCTGCAGATCCCGGCCCAGGAAGGTGCGCAGCCCCCACCGGGACACGGGGTTTCCCGCTGAGCGCCATGCTGGCTATGGACGGCGCCTGCAGGGGTCTCCCTGGGACAGCCAAGTCTCCTGCCGATGAGCCAAGGCACCTCCTGCTCCAGGTGAGGGCTGACCGCCCCGGGTCGTGGGATTTCTGTCTGGAAACCCATCCTCCGAGAAGCAGGTTCAGAAGCTGGACACATCTCCATGGGGCCGAGGGACCCCACGCCAGAGGCGACTTTTGAGGGGATGCCAAGTTCTTGGAGTGCCCCCCGATCTCCGGTTGGAGCTCCTCCTACCAATGCCATAGTGGAGGCACCGGACCTCAGTGGAGGGGACCCGATGGGGGGGCAGGGGTAGGGCTACGGCTGCCCTGGGAGGCGGTTGGGGGCTAGGGGCACCGTGGCGCCACCCTGACTCCGGCCATCTCTGGCCTGCTCAAGGGAGGCAGTCCTGCCTGCCCATCCTTATGTAAGCCGGCACAATAGCGAAATAAGAAAAATCTTCCAGACATGCTAAGAAAGCCCCACTGTGCACCCTAAAACCAAATAAGATCTAACCAGACTTGTATACCTGTTGTAAGATTCAATTAGCTGTATAAAATGGAGTTGTATTTAGACCTCGCCTTTTCCAAGAGGAAAAAGATACTCGACTTGGTTTGCCTTCCAGGCAGAACCTGGAAAATATCCAGCGAGGGTGGCCTGGACGGAGGAGGAGGGAATCCGGCAGACTTCACTCCTCAGTGCCATCAGGAAGTAGCTGGTTTCGGCATCTTCCGTCCCCATAACGGCGATGCCAACTTCCCGCCAGACACCAGGAGGTAAACACACTGCCAAGGGCCTTCCTAGGGAGTGGTGGGCCCATGGCAACCACAAGGCTGCACCTTAAAAGCAGTCCTGGCTGGCCGCTGCTATTTGTGGGATACTGCCTATGCGATAAGGGCTGTGGGTCACCAGAGGCCCCGAAAATGTGAAGACAACTTTCTGGCTTTGTGAGGCAAGAGTTGGTGTAAGGCTTCACTCCTTATCTGGCCACCTTGTAACAGTAACAGTTGAGGGGGTGGAAGGAAGAGGCAGGAGAAAGGGGAAAGGAGAAGGGTAACATCCCATGTTTGTGGATTGGGAAACTTAATACTCTTACAATGGCAGTATTCCCCAAAACTGATCTACAGATTCAACACAACTCTTATCAAAGTTTCAACCGAATGCTCTCCAAATTAGACACGTTTATCATAAAATCTGTATGGAAATTTAAGAAACTGAGAGTAGCCAAAGCAGTATTTTAAAAGAATAACACAGCCAAGCCGGTGTGGCTCAGTGGTTGAGTGTTGACCTATGAACCAGGAAGTCATGGTTCCATTCCCCATCAGGGCACATGACTGGCTTGTGGGCTTGATCCCTAGTAGTGGGCATGCAAGAGGCAGCTGATCAAGATTCTCTCATCATTATGTTTCTATCTCGCTCTCCCTCTCCCTTCCTCTCTGAAATCAATAAAAATAAAAAATAAAAAAAGCCCAGCTGGAGTGGCTCAGTGGTTGAGCATCGACCTATGAACCAGGAGGCCATGGTTCCATTCCCCATCAGGGCACATGCCTGGGTTTCGGGCTCGATCTCCAGTGTGGGGCAGCCGATCAATGATTCTCTCTCATCATTGATGTTCCTATCTCTCTCCCTTTCCTTCCTCTCTGAAATCAATAGAATAAATAAAAATTAAAAAAAAATAACACAGCCTGAGTAGTGTGGTTCAATTAGTTGAGGGTCCTCCCATGAACCAGGAGGTCATAGTTTCATTCCCAGGCAGGGCACAAGCCTGGGTTTCTGACTTGATTCCCAGGAGGGGGCATGCAGGAGGCAGCCAAATGACGATGTTTCTCTTCAATGTTTCTATTCCTCTCCCTTCCTCTCTATAAAATCAATTAAAATATTTTAAAAAAATAAAGTGAATATATCCTTTAAAAATCAAAACAAACAAAAAAAGGGGTAAAAATTATGGTTGTTAAAACTGCAAGCACATTATCACAAATTTAGGCAGTTGCTCTAAAATACTAATATTGACCATACTGCTCACCACAATACACACACACACACACACACACCCCAAATAAAATCAAATCTCACTTAAGAAAATATTGAATGAAGCAATAAAATTTATGAATTTTATTAAATCTCAACTCTTGAAAAGACATCCATCATGTTAATACTATGTCATGCAATGAGAAGCATGAAACACTATTGCATATCACAGTGCAGAAGTACTCCAATGATAGTTTGTGTTGTGAGCTACTAGTAAACTAGCCACTTTTTTTCATGGAACACCATTTTCATCTTAAAGTACAACTATAGTTACGCTGAATGTGGACATTTACTCTGGGTGTGCAGGAGGCGGCCAATTGATGTTTCTCTCTCATCGATGTTTCCATCTCTCTATTCCTCTCCCTCTGTCAAATCAATAAAAACATTTAAAAGCTGAAAAATTAAATTAACGCTGACTATTGTATCTCATTTAACCTCCATAGTTGCCCAGGCTAGAGCATTGCCAAGGGGATGTCTAGCTCTGACCTGTACAGATTTTCTTTATTGTACATCATTTACCTGTAAAAAGTTACTTTTATTGGCGTGATGGCTGAATATGTATGAAATGCTTTCAACAAAGTAGACATCACCAGGAACGAGGCAAATCTACACCGCGATGATGGTGGTGATGGAGGGGAGAGGAGTGGTAGGTGGAGGACTTGGTGAAGCCGGTGGTCAGAGCAGATCCCAAGTCTACTTTGGTCCAGCCCCTTCTCCTGTGCACGGCGCTCTCTTCCTGCAGGGTGAGACCCCTTGCAAGGCCCGGAGGCTGACCCGGCCGCCCCGTCCTGCAAGGAATGGGAGCAGGACAGGGTGCAGCCGCTTCCCTCGGAGCCCGAACGCCGTGAAAACGTGCGGAAGCCAAGTCAGACGTGGACTCTGAGGAACAAAATCAGCTGCTGAACAGAACAGATCCCGAGGCGCAGAAGCGGGCACAGCCTGCAGGCGGGGAGGGGAGCCATCGTCAGAGACCTCGTGTACACACACGCGTCCCCCACGGGCTCAGACAACCGGGGGGCAGCCGGAGCGGGAGGGCCGGAAGGGTCCATGCCCTTCTTTCAACAACAAAGATGAAAAGCCGGGCGGAGGGAGACGTGGACAGTGACTGCGGAGAGGAGCGCGACTCCATCCGGCAGGTCCGCGAACGGCCGCCCTCCCCGGCGACTGG